TGACATCAAGAAGCAGATCCTAAAAAATATGGCTTTCCAATATTTAATCAAGAGATAGGTTTGCTACAATGTGCATCTCTTGACCATAGGACCAGTTCAGACACTACTTACTTTCCCTGCAATAGTGATAAGGTCTGTAGCAACATCCAAGAGAAGAGCATTTGCCATTATATTTTTGGGGTTTTTTTGTGTGTGTGTGCATGTGTGTGTGTGTGTGTGTGTATGTCAGATGGGCTAAGAGCTATAGCAGCTTTGTTCATAAAAATTATCCTTCCTTTGTGCTAAAGAACAGCCAAAGATTTGGAGGTTAAACCATATTGTCCTGACTGTACTCCAAAGCAGACACATTTCTATTTTAAAATTCTGGCATTAAAATATTTAATTTGAATAACAAAGGGAAGGGTGAGAAAAGATTATATTAAACTATCCCACTGGTAGAGGAGTTCTGATGTCTAATGGGCCCTGCAAGTACATTTAAACACAGGATTAAATCCTTCATAAGACCTTGAAAAACTGGTGAGCCTCTGTGGCCACAGGGAAAATCCAGGGACTCAAGACATATCAGCATCACTGCATATGGCATGAAATCCAGCCTGGTACGAGATTATAAAATGACTGAAATTCTAAAAAGAAAATAAAAAGCAAGGCAAAAAAAAAAAAGAAAAGTACAACATACATTATTAGTAGTAATGTCAAATATGACAGGAATCTCAAACAAAATGTAAGTGAACTAAAAAGCACAAAATGGGCTGGTTGGGCTGCCTCACGCATGTATTCCTAGGACTTTGGTAGATAGAGACAGGAGGATTGCTTGAGGCCAGGAGTCCAAGACCAGCCTAGACAACATAATGAGATCCTACCTCTACAAAAAAAACTTAAAATATTAGCCAGGCATGAAGGTGTGCACCTGTAGCACTCCAACCTAGGTAATAGAGTGAGAGTGAAACCCCATCTCAAAAAAAAAAAGCAGAGAATGCCAGAAGCCAGAATGGTTTTTAAATAAATAGACATATACCATTTCCAGGAGACACATTTAAGACACAAATAGACTGAAAGGAAGGACATACACACCAGGTAAAGAAGGTTAGATTCAATACTCAAACAGCTAGATAGTAAAGCTCACTATAAAGCTGTAGCAATTAAGACAAGTGAGCAATTAAGATATACTGATTGGGAGAGCAGACCACAGAAAGAGAACAGAGAGCCTAGGAACAGGCCTGAGCTTATAAAGCCAATGTAAGGCAGACAGTGCAGGCAGATGAACTGGGAGAAAACAGACCTACAAATGCTACTGGGACAATTGTTTACCCATACAATAAAAAATAAAATTAGATTCCTTCTGATAGGATGGCATTTGCTAATAAATTATCTAACAGAGAAAAATAAGCTACTAACGGAAAGAAAGAGAAATAAACTCACAGCATATAATTGCCCCTTTGAAGGGAAAGATCAGGGCACAACAGCCCCTTGCTTGATCATCCACCAACCTGGGGCTTAACTCATTATCTCTAAGAGTTTTAACAGCCTTGAAGAGCCCAGAGTAGACAACAGGGGTCCTCCTAGCTCCCTCTCTCAGTTCCTGCCAGAACCAAATTCCAAGGACTTCCATAAGCAAGACTCACAGAGAAGAAGGGGGGAAAAAAAAGGGAAAAATAGCTGCAGCCAATATCACAGCCATTTTTCTGCTATCAGCTGATAACAATGAATTTTTTTCTCTTCCTTTTTTCCCCTAAAATTTCCCAAGCCCCTTAGCCTCTGGGTGGAACCTCTTTCTTTCCATGGTGCCTAGCCCTTCCTATCCCACCCCACCCCCAACTTGGGAAGTAAATAAACTTTCTTTCTTTCTTTCTTTAAATTCTAATCTTTGTGTCAAGAATTCTTTTTCGAGTCCCCGCCCTAAAACCTACCTCACCCATACACACAAATATATCCTAGATGAATGATAGACTTGCATATGAAATGAAAATATTTTAAACTTTCAAGAAAATATGGGACAAAATACTTTCCTGTCTTTCAGATTAGACAATATTCCTAAATAACACATTGTTAAACAAGTCCAAATTGCAGTTCTAAATGAAAACCATATCTTTGATATGAGTTAGTATTTTTATGAAACTTGACCGAACATATACATGGTTTTAAATTCCTAAATATATTTTGATGTTACTAATGTTGGAAATATATTTTTAAAAAATAAATGAAATAAAATTTAAAATATGTAACTGCTTCGAAGAATGAATAAGGTGTTAAACATTTTGAAACTACTTTGGAGTGGTAAACAACAATGATACAAATAATATATATTTCTTAGAGTCCAGTTATAAGAACTTTCAGAAGAACATCATATCTTAAAACTATCTAAAACACTTGCCACCAGCAAGTGAACTGTGGTTATCACATGAAAATTTTAACTAAGATACACTAAGACCAAAGAGAAAAATAATGATCTCTCACAAGCTTAAAGAAAGCTTAAAACATAAAACCCACACAAAGAACATGGCTGTAAATGCTATACTCACATTTTCACTAAAGTAAAATATGTTTATGTTAAACTGGAAGTCATGCTTTAATAGTTTTTAGTAGGCCTTTCTTTCTTAATTATACATAATAACGTAATTCCTTTTCAGAGAATAATCCCTGACCTTCTTTATTTATGGATGAAATACTATAACTTTTTTTAAAAGCAATTTTAAATGCATAAGACTTTTAAAAGAACTCAGTAAATAACTGACCTACATATTTTACAACAGGCCAATGCCAAGTGAAGTTATAGGCTCAAGCATAATAGAAAAGCAAACACTAAAAATGAGTGATACCATCTATCAATAAGCATACATAACCCATAAATTTAATTTCATATATACTAATACCTGGTCTTAAGAACAACACACAAACGTATGACCTTCAACTAACAAAATGATGAAATTCTTGTTCTGAACTCTTTACAGAGTCAAACTGTTAGGTAGAAAGTATAACTTCTTTGAATAATATACAAAGCAATATGGTTGCTTTTTCAAAACTGACACATAAGTAACAGAAAATAAAAAAGTATAGTTCATTGAGTTTTTAAAACTATATACAATGATGCAATCACCACTCAAAAAAAGATATAAAAATAATGAAAATTTTAATTCCCCACAAAGTCCCCTTTACCTCTTTCTGTTAAATTCCTCTCCCTTCTTCCAGGTAAATGTCATTGATCTTTAACAAAGCAAACGGAGCTAGACATCTAAATATACTTTCATTGAAATTGTGTTACATTGAAATTGCCAACACTAACAAGTTTTGGATCTCATTTGGAAATGTTTTCAGAGCTTGAATGGTGACAAACTTTCATTCTTTAAGTGTCTGATTTTTGAAAAAAATACATCATTCATAAATAAGTCCAGTAAAAGAAAATGGGCAACTGCAGATAAGAAAGGAAGGAGAAATAGCCTAGACACATAAGTGCCAGGCACTGGGCTAACCACTTGAGACCAATATTCTCATAGGTGTTTACAGCAATCCTGAGAGATATAATAATTATGATTGTCGTTATTTTTGACAGAGGAAATTGAGGTTCACAAAGGTTAAGTAACTTGGCCAGGCTTCCTCATTTGTAGAGTGAGGCAACATTCAAGTCCAGATCTCTTACTCCAAAACAGATGCTCTTGTACTTCACTCCGAGTAGACTCTTTACATTGGTTAATACTGTTTGGAATAAAAAATAAAGAATCGGGGCTTTCTGCCATCGCTGTCTATGCTGTGCGTGCCCTTACCCAGCTGTGTGGTGATGAGCATCAGGTCCAAGGTCCAAGACAGAGCATCAGGTCCAAGAAAACAGACAGATGTCTGTCCAGGGAAAAGACAGACCCACGTCAAGCAGCTAGTGAAGATTCTACCACTGAGCGTGGAGAGTCCAGCAAGTCTAACTTCCTGAAGCTGATGTCGATCATCCACTAGCAGGACTTTGACCAGTGCACATGTGAGGAATTCCACCCCACCCTCCACAGCAATGGGGTCATAAGTATTAATACGAGGGTGCTGGGAAAGAAGAAAGGGAAGTTGCATATTGCTTGGGTAGTCATTCAAACCAATGGAGACAAGATGATGGCATCTGACAACCTGTCATCCATGGAGGTACAGGGAACCAGGGAATGGTGGATACTCAAAGTTTTGTTTTGCTTGCAATATCTTTCTGCTATGAGAGACTTATGGGCAGATACAAGCATACAGAATTCCTATGACCAGCATGGATAATTTCAATGGGTTGAATCCATAAAAAATATTTCCTTGCTGTTGGATAAATTTGGAGAGCCAGATTACATTCCATCACAAGATTCTGCTTGCCAGAAGACCCACCAGAAGCATTCATGAATACAAGAAGGAAATTTAAAATATTCCTTTAAGAAGGCTTGACATTGTTGATCAAAGATCAAAAAGGAAACATTGGATTGATTTCTTTGCTTCCACAGTGTAATATCAATACTTTTCTTTGTTTCTGCAAGTGATTTGACCAGGTGCTTGTGGAAGATTGACTGACAAAATCACCTTACCAAACCTCTGAAAACATTTTTGAAACAATTGTCAAAAACCTACTTTTCAGCAATGACTCCATAATTCTCTTCTTGGACAAAACAGATTTGCTTGAGGGAAATGTGCGAATGGTGAGCATCAAAAACTATTGGAATATGGAAAGGATCCACACTGTTCAAGAGACATTCAAAAATTCATGGTAGAACATTTCTATAACAAATGCCAGAAACTGCAGTGGAAACCCTCATAACACCAATTCGCAAGTGCCATCAAGGAAAACCTTTTTTCCCATAAGAATAATATTTTTAAGAAATTCTCCAACAGTTTATACTATAGTGACACATAAAAAAGACTTGCTATTTTAATAACTTTTTGTGTTTTTAATAGCTTCTTATTTGTTTCATTTTCTAAAAATAAAATTACAAAAGAGGAATTAGAAAAATCCTGATTCTATGTTTAACTGTTTGGAAATCTTAATCCCTCACCTGTAGACTTTGATTTGTGGCCGAAACCTGCTGAATGAATGGCTGCAATCTACCAATGTCTGCTGGCTTTCAGTTGTTCATCTGTTTCACTATGTCTTTCCTTGAGTTGTCATTTACTGACAGACTTCAGACTAGGTATATTTCAGGCTTCAAATTTTTCCAGTTTTCAAGCTGAATTCTCCTGCAGTGATAATTATAGAAAGTGTCCTTAAATATTTGTAAGTATGAAATTAAGAACAAGTACAATAAGTATGATATCTTTTGTCAGCCTTACACAAAGCAATGGCACTCATTGCCTATCTCTATGGTGACTTCCTATCTTGAAAGGGATATTAAGAAAGAGGTTCAATGTGAGGAATGGCATTCTCTTGGCTTATAAATGTTTCGCCTTTATTTTTTTTTTATTACTTGTGCATCTAACAATTCTTTATGCTTTCAAATCCTTTGGTTTCTGAAGGTAGTGCTCTTAGCGTTTTAAAGATCACATAAAGACTTCTGGTCTGATACTAATGAAGAGTTTATCAGTGGTATGGAAGAACAAAAGACATGCAAATGCAATATATAGTGTTTTAATCAAGACTCAGAAGTGAAATGTAATGTGGCTTTTTCATATTTAATTATCACGTAATTAATGCTCCATATGGGAAACATTCTGGCCAGGGCAACAACAAAAACTGCAGGCAACTTGATAACAGAAATATACCTTTTCCAAAAAAAAAATTAAATTAAAATTAAATTAAAAAAATTAAATTAAAAATAAAATTTCACTCTATTTTAATAAAGCTAATTTTTGTATCTTCAGAGAAATTTATAGTAGAAGAGTTATAAGATTATATACATTGATCTTATAATTCTTAAAATGAAGAAACTAAAGCCTAGGACAGGAAGGAGTAAAGCCAGACATAAAACCCAAGTCCCTTTTCTCCAAGTCTGAGCTCCTCTTCCTCTACACCCATAGCTTTCAAACATCTTTAGCCTCAGCATTTTCCCCCCAAATAATCAAATGAGAAAGTTCAGTATAAAAAAACAGACCAAAGCAGAGATGTTCTGGTTGAAGCTGGTAGGAATCACAAGCCTCACTCTACTCTTTCCCTTCCCTGGTCATATTTTCAGAAAATTCCTAGAATTGGAAAAATACAGTCTGAAAATCATCTGCTTTACACCGTGCTATTTCATAAAATTAATCTGGCAGAGAGCCAAGTTAAAAAAATGTGAAAAGCTGAACATCAATACAAAAGAGAAACTAGTTCAATAAAAAAAGATGAAAACTGTCATAATTTGGCTCATGAATAAGCACCAAATCAATGAGGCTGAAAATGGGCACCTCAGGAGGTCAGAAAAGGAAGACATCACAGTGTGTTGGCATAGTACAGTGAGTCACTCAAGAGAAGGACTGACATGGGTCTTAAAATATGGATAGCGCTGAAATGAGGAGGTAGCAGTGAAAGAAGAAAAAGGAAGGAAAATACTATCAGCAATAGCACTGGAATAAGAAAGAACAATATAATTTCAATAGAAGTGAGTAGATCAACTAAGCTCAAAGAAGTGGCTGGGAAAACTGAAAAATGTGAAGTTAAACCAAGAAATACATGTTGGGGCTGGATTATTTTAAGTTAACGAGTTTTGACTTTATCCTGGAGGCTTCCCCTAATTTCCTGGGGAATTACTGAAGGTTTCTGCATAAGGTAGCAATATGATCAAAGTGTTTTAGGAATTTTAGTCAGACAGTAGTGTGAAGATATTCTAGGGAAAAAAATTTAGAGGAGAAAGATCAGTTAGGAGGCTATTTGCAGACATCCAGACATGATAACTATCAAAACCAGGTTTCAAGCTGGAAGGACAAAAGGAAAGGAACAGATAAAATAGCAGGAAGCAAGATTTGAAAGGACTTTGAAACTTCCCTGTCATTCTAGGTATGAGAAAAATATTCTGGATAATTATCTGGGATCATTATAAAGGGGATCCATATCTCAGAAGGTAATTGAACTATAATCCCTTTCCTGTTCTGAAATTATAATTCAATGTAACAGACGGATGGGATGGGTGGGGGAGCCAAGCACAGATTAAAAGTGTCAAGTGTGGGTGACTACAAAAATGATACATATAATTTCCAAGGTGAGACACCTGTTATGGACCATTCCAAAAGAGAAATGGAAAATAGGCCCAATTCCTTTTAAAATGTTGAAATAATTTAAGCCAAGAAAAACAACAGCAACAAAAAAAAACAAATCAGGTAGCATATTATGGTGCAAAATCCTTTAGAGGCAGGGCTTCTAAGGATTTAATGAACCACATTTTTCTAGGCTATTCATCAAGGAGATAGTGCAGAAGAAAACAAACTGGGTTGTTATTACTGCAGATATAAAATAGTGCAAAATCATTTAACATTTGGTCTTTTCCACCAGCCACACAGACATACAACTCAACAGCAAGCAAATCACCTTTGTGTATGAATGTTAAAAATATACAAACTTTAGAGTTTGGAACTTTTATTCTTTTATTTTCTCTTTACTAGTGTCCTGAGGACAGGATTACATTCTGTGTCATTTGCTTTGTAACTCTGTATAGGATTTAATTTACATATTTCATGTGAAAGAAAAGTGCTGACTAATTCATGTTTAATTTTGGTCAACAATGATATCTAGATCTTTTTTCACATTTTTATTTAATAAACGGGTAGTGAGTTATTCTCATTTTGTAAATTTATAGCTAATTATTATTCTGACCATGCCCTCAATGAAATTTACTGTCTTTATTTCTCATCTTTTTTCCAATTTAGAAAAGTGCTTTGAATTCTAAACCTAGCCTCAATTATTCTTAGGGTGATCTACAAGTACTGTCACACTCTTCTAGGCTGACAGGTTACAATCGGCAATTCATCCACAGGTTCTTAATGACATTATCCAAATGGGGTGGGGGATAATAATTTTTAAAAAACAATTATTTGTAAGAAATTCTTTCCCATGTTTACAAAGGGTCCAACAAGAGTATCTCATCATATATCCCAGAAATGTTTAAAAGAAAAATTATTTCTGGGTACCTGACAAACACCTAGAATTGTGATGTTAAGAGCTTTCCCAAAAGATACTTAAGAAATACTGATTATATTGTCTGAAAGAAAATTGACTGCAAGAGGAATAAAACACTGAATTGGTCCACTGAAAAGAGTGATGGAGCTATGTTCCTGAAGACCTTTCATGATATAGTAGATTAGGATAGGCAAGTATCTACTCTGGGTTATAATAGCGATATCATTGAAGCATGTGGATACAAATTTATCCATCATATGAAAGGTCTGGCTTAACACATTTATGAGTCAAGATATAGAGGAAAATTTCTAAATATTATAAAGTAATGCTGTTATAATATGAAGACTGTTCATAATGACTTCTCTTTACAGTGTTCTAGAAAACATTACTGCAAATTAACTCATTATTATAAACCATGGTCACATTTTATTTCAGCTGTAATAATTTAGAAAGCAATACAATGTGTTTTTAGAATGTATAGCCCAGTTAGCCCACAATAAATATCAACATATTCAATTCTGAAAGAGATCCAGTATAAGAAGTAATCATGTCTTATATTTGTCTCAATAGATTAAAAAAAAGATAAAGTCCCAGCCCGCATATGTTTTAAACCTAACAGACATAGAATCCAAATTTGGTAACGGAATTATTAAATAAGACAATGGAGTTTCCAGTGCAGATACCACCATCCAGTAACTTTGGAAGTTACATTTGTGGCACTGTTGTTCAATCTTCCATTATTGCTGGTTGGTTTAACATGGTAAGACCTCACAGATCCTAAAAGTACTTGTGAGATGGGACAAATTTTTTACCTACAAAAATTAGGTAAAAGGTAAAGCAGTGGAGAATCAAAGAAATGCACTTGAATCCCTTCAAATATCCTTCAGTGCTTCTCAACACAAAAAATAAAGTTCAAATTCTCTAGCATGGCATGCCTTCATGATTTGTCCTCGTCCCTGTCCCCTCTCCTACCTTTTCTCAATCCCCAGTACATTCAGCTACTGAACCATCTCCCCACATCTCCATGCATCCTACTTCAGCTCCCCAGCAGATGCTGCTTATTCTTCCACTCAGCTGAAATGTACTCCTTAACCTCCCCCTGAGAAAACAGCTACTTCCACAAGGATTCTTCTAAATTCCCTGTGCATACACTTGTCACTTTACCTAACACAACCAACCCATGCCTTCTCTTCCAGATGGAGAAATAGCAATATATTTTTCTGTATAATTCTCAAGACATAGTAAGTAGTTATTACAAAAAAAAATGAATGGATAAGTGATTAAATAGATTTCTTAGTATAGAAATTAGAAAAGTTATCATTATATCATTTTTAAATACAAAATAGGTTCAAGATTTACTCAATAATGAAACAAATATTTATTTAGCACTTAATGATGTGCCAGACTGAATGGGGTGTGGAAGACAATGAAAATATGACTTTGAAGACATTTACAACACAGCAGGCAAGATAAGAATTTACCAACCTACTATATGTAAATAAAATTTTGTAATAAATGTTATATGATGAATTTTTTAAAATTTGATGTTCTCAGAATAGGGTCTTTAATGCCTACCTTCTGCCTTGCCAAATTTGCAGGCACCTTGCAAGGGTAGTCTAGTCTTCTCCGGCTCAGTGATTTTTTTTTTTTTAGGTGCCACTTCCGTCCCTCAATTTCAAACTATCTGTTCAAGGCCTAACCATTCAGATTGATAAGTCATTATCTGGCTTTGGCTTCTTGACAGCATGCTGTGTATTGTGAAACACATCACTGGGCCCTACCTCCTGTGTCCTTAACACAAACAATGCCCACCCAGTCTCAGACTGCAACTCCAGGGAACTCATCTTACCCTCTCTGCTTCTACTCATCTGGGAAGGAGGGCTCATCAAAACAGAGTAAAGAATGTCCAGCTCACTTTGATTAGGCTGAGAGATCGAGGCTATAAAACAACTTAACCAACGACAGTTAAGTTGGCCCTTACATATTTGGGCAAAATTGTGTAAGAAAAATAAAGGAAGGGTATTCTAAGTAGAGGGATCTTCTTGCTGGAGCAATGGCATAAGTGTGAATCTGAAAGCTTCACAAAGGTGAAGGCAAGTGGACTAGCTGGCCTTAGTCACACTAAATCTCATATCTAGTAAATGTGGAAATAGATAAAATGTGTCGTAAATACCTAGAAGTGCCAGATTAAGATTTATTTTAAAAATCAAGGAAAAGTCCATCTTTTAGGCAAAGAGATTATGTTATAAATGATGACAACTTGGAGGGGAAAAAAGGAGCAGCAGCAGGACTTCATTAAATTGGCCTTATGCAATCTCAAAGCTCTTTAAGTTAGTTTAAGTTACTTGCCTTAGTCAAATAAATTTCCTTATTCCAACTTAGTTTTCTCTTCCACCAAGCAAATAATTTTCTTCCTCGGGCATAGTGCAAAAAGTATTTATTTAACATGTTATGCCTTCTCTATGTTTACCCAAATATGTATTTATTGGGTCTAGTATCTTATTTTCATTTATATTCTCATCAATGTGGAACTTTTAATATTTTATCATGAGTTTCATTGATTAGTGCAAATCATAAAGATTCTATTTATGTTTTTAACATATAATTTCATAAGAACTATAAATAATAA